ACATATTCTCATTCTCCTTCCAGTGGCCAAGACCACATGTCCCTTTGGAGCCCATGTTCACATACATGTATTTCACTTTTTTTTTTTTTTTTTTTTGAGATGGAGTCTCACTCTGTCACCCAGGCTGGAGTGTAGTGGTACGATCTTGGCTCACTGCAGCCTCTGTCCCCCAGGTTCAAGCCATTCTTCTGCCTCAGCCTCCCAAGTAGCTGGGACTACAGGCATGCACCACCATGCCCAGCTAATTTTTGTGTTTTTTTTTTTTTAGTAGAGATGGGGTTTTACCATGTTGGCCAAGGTGGTCTCGAACTCCTGACCTCAAGTGATCTGCCTGCCTCGGCCTCCCAAAGTGTTGGGATTACAGGTGTTAGCCACTGCACCTGGCCCATATTTTTTAATTTTTAAAATAGCTCAAAAGTGGATTATGTCTCCACTTTATAGATGGATGCCAGTATTTATATAAAATTTATCACCATCTGCTTCCTAAAAGGATAAGAGGTGCTATAATAAAAGACATATATGTAAACATATCTATATACACATATATATATATATATATTTGTACTACATGTGTAACACATCTATTAGAGAAAGCAAGCAAGGGAGAAATAGGCCACAATTATAAGGTTGGTGCAAAGGGGTTTAGCCAACTACAGTTAGCAGGCACAGTTCCAAGAGTGCCCCTTACTTCAGATCCTGGCTGCAAATTTGAGGGTCCCCACAACCCCAGGAATTCTCTAAAACAACTCTCCAAACTCATGAAAGTGCTGTACTTACTCCCACAGTTTTATTACAGTGGAAAGATACAAATTAGAACCAGCCAAAGGAAGAGACCCCTGGGGCAGAAGCCAGAAGGCGTCTAGACATGGAGCTGCCAGCCATCGTCTCCCTGGGGTGGTCACTGACAGCGCTGTTTCCTCTTGGCCACGGTGTATGATAATACATGCAGAGTATTGCCAGCTGGGGAAGGTCCTCTGAGCCTTAGGTGTGCAGAGGTTTTACTGGGGCTTGACCACACCCTGCCTGTGTGGTTTACTTTTAGTCTCCAGTCTCTCTAGAAGTTCGGGCAGATACCTTTCGTCTCAAGTTCCTCTGGAGATCAGACCTGATATGACGCATCCGAAAGCCCCCATCATAAATCACATCATTAAAGTGGTGCCCAAAGTCCCAAGCAAACCAAGCCACTCTTACCATGGAGGACATTCCAGGGGCCCAGAGATCACTTCCAAGTAGCTGAGGGCAAAAGCCAGACCTCTCCTGCAGTGTCAGTTCTTCACTATTCAGTAGGAATCATAAGTTCTCCATGTTTTTTTAAATCCTAGGGTAATACATTTCTAATTGGACATGAATTTTAGCAGATGCATAGAGCTGAATGTGTTACATAATCCCTCAATGTCCAATATTGAACTATTAGATACACAGTTCTAAATTGTAGAAAGAATATATTGGGTAGGCCCTTCTGCAATGTATAGTAAATATGGTAACAGTGAACAATGTCTTCAACAGTAGTTTAGGAAGTGATGCTGTGGCTGTTTCTTAATTTTACCCTCACTAAATGGAATGCAGCGCAAGAATTCCCATGAGGGTAGTGGGATGGAAGGAAGAGAGCAGCATTACCAGGCCCAGATAGATAGCTTTCTGGTAACTTAGCTTGGTGCAGACACAGAGTTCAGAGTGGAGGGATGGCTGGCGCCCTGATCTTTGTCATCTCTGTTTCCCCACCCTGCCATGTGGGAGGTGCTAGCACCTTTCCTGGCTGCCTCACTGGCTGTTACAGGGGCCAACGCAGAGGAAGTTCAAGGTATGAACACTTATGAAGGCATTTTTTAAAATGTAGGGGTCTAGTGGATGAGAGAGCGTCGAAGATGAAACTAATACTCCTTATCGCAGGTAGAAGTACCATCTCCCCTTCCCAGACCTTTCCCAAAACTGCTAAGAGCAGCTGTGATTCATTTGAGTTTCTAGTGGCAAGTCTGACATAACATTTCCCAAACATGACTGTATGACATCCCTGCAACTGTATTATCACATAGACCTGCACTGATGCCACATTCTCTAAATGTCATCGTAGGTAATAATGGGGTTATTTTTTATCTTAATTTACCTGGCTCCTGGGTCTCTCGCTCAGTTGTTTCCAAACTTGAAAGCTAAAACCCAAATGGTATTGGCACAATCCCCTTTCCCCCAAAAATGTGTCAATTGATTATATATACAAGTATTTCTCATTTAAGAGCCGTATCCCCAAGAAGCTTTCATTTAGGTATTGTATACTTACTACGAGCTCCTGTGTGCAAGGCACTGGGCCAGGTGTCATCATGGATTTCGAAGATGAATACGTAACCAAGATCACAACATTAGTTGGGTACTAAAGCAGAGATTCAACACTGGATGCATCACCCTGCAGAACCTTCCTGCTTCTCGTACCAATGCAAATAACCCTAAGTAATAAGTATCTCAACAGAAATTACTCAGGATGGGGAGGACATATCCCAGCTCAGGGGTCAGGGAGGACCATAGTCCACAGCATGCTTGTCCCTTACCATAGCCTAAGTGCAAATCATTCTCTGCACATTCTTTTTTTTTTTTTTTTTTTTTTTAAGACAAAGAGTCTCACTCTGTTGCCCAGGCTGGAGTGCGGTGGTGTGGTCTTAATTCACTGCAACTTCTGCCTCCCAGGTTCAAGCAATTCTCCTGCCTCAGCCTTCCAAGTAGCTGGGATTACAGGTGTGTGCCACCTCGCCCAGCTAATTTTTGTATTTTTAGTAGAGTCAGGGTTTCTCCATGTTGGCCAGGGTGGTCTTGAACTCCTCACCTCAGGTGATCTGTCTACCTTGGCCTCCCAAAGTGCTAGGATTACTGGCGTGAGCCACCACGCCCAGCCTCCCCTGCACATTCTATAAACAAGTTTGCCAAAGCTAATTACTGATAAGAAACTACCCAAGGATACACCTGTGCATCTCCCAGGAAGCTGGGAAAGCAGAAGGGACCCTTGGCTTTCCCAGTGCGTCAGAAAACAGTGACCCCATCTTAAATATTGTTCCCTACAAAAAGAAAGCAGAGCACCTTAGGGTAAGGCTGGGGTTAGATCTTTGGGGGGAAAAGAATAAAGTGAGGCTAGGATATTTTCTTGTTCTAGAAAGTAAAGGAACATTCAAGGACCAATAGGCGTCATATATAAAACAAAACAAAACAAAACAGGAGCTGGCTTGAAGCGGCCCCAAATTTGGGGTAATTTGAGCATCAAATGTAGTAATGATAATAATGGATCATGATACAATTAAGAAGAAAAATTTATGGCTGTACAGTGATAGTGGGAAGGAGGATTCTTCATTACAGAAAAACACCAGCTAATAAATATGGAAGACATTATCAAAATAAATCACCCTTTTGCACCCCTAAAGTAATATTTGATTCAAGCAAGGTTTGATTCATAAAGTTTCTGTATGAAAGTGGTTGAGGAAAGGATATATTTATGGTCTCAAAATATCACACCACAGATTATCACTGATTATGAACAAATTACCTTTACCCTGGAGATATCTAGTGGTCCACCTTAACCAAGTAATCAAAGTTGGCTTTACCAATCTTGGAAGAGACATTACAAGCCTTCTGACATGAAGCAATAAGAAAGAAGTACACAGTAGCACCTTGATACTCTTATTGCCAGAATGTTCTACAGTACTTGAATCTAACCATTAAGAAACCATCTGACAAATCCACCATATTTGACATTCTATACACAGCCAATCTTAAGATTTCCTGTCATGAACAACAAACAGTAGGTAGAGTGTGTTCTAGATTAAAAGATCTTAAAAAGGCATAACAACTGAATGCAATATGTGAGCCTTGGTTGGGCCCTGGATCCTGGCGACAATAGGGGAAGATTGAATATGGCTGGCTTATTAAATGATGTTACGGAGGTTTTGTTGATTTTCTCAAATGTGACAAGGATGTGGTAGATAGGAGACTGTTCTTATTTTTAGGAGATGTAAATTTGCAAATGAAAGTGTTCCGAAGGAAAATGTCGTATCTGCAGTTTGCAGTCAAATGGTTCAGAATTTGCCCCTGCAGATATGACAAAATGTTACATCTGAATCTAAGGGAAGGGATCTGGGTATTCAGTATACTATTCTTTTTTTTTTTTTTTTTTTTCAGTTTTACAGTAGGTTTGAAAATCTTCAAACTGGCTGGGCGCAGTGGCTCACACTTGTAATCCTAGCACTTTGGGAGGCCAAGGGAGGATTGCTTGAGGCCAAGAGTTGAAGACCAACCTGGGCAACATAGCGAGACCCTGTCTCTATTTTAAAAAAAAAAAAAAACAACTTTAAAAGTTGGAGGAAAGGTTGCAATATATGATACTACTAAAGAGAATATGTTGAAAAGTTTATGTGATTGGGAAAGTAGACACATATTCTGTTACTCTGCATTAACCTTTGGTACTTCTTTCTTTCCATCCTAGTGGTTTGGATAATAAGTGTTCTGTGTATCCCTTGACGTTTGACAAAAATGAAAACATGGCTGCCAAAAAGAAGTCTGTTGCTATGCACACCAACTACCTGTCGGCCTGCAGCTTCACCAACTCTGACATGCAGGTAAATAAGCGGCCCCCGGTGTCAGGTTGACCTGCCAAGGAGCACTAAAGAGGAGCAGAGAGGAGAGGAAGCTTTTGGCATCTCTGTGAACAAGATGGGTGTGCTCCAGTAGTTTGCTCTAAGGGGAAGCTCCCATTGTTTCTCATCAGTTATTATTATGACTTTTAATAACGTGAGAAAGTTGGGGCTAATGATGGTTGATAGAGTTGAGATAAACTACATGGCATATTGAAAATCCTCCTCTGATTGACTTGGCGAGGGTGGGAGTGGAGCAGGGAACCCCCTGGGGTAGAGGCAGTTACTGTGCCCTGGTCAGCGTGCTAACGTGTGTAAAGCTTCACTGAGCTGTCGGGCTTCAGAGCTGGGCACTACATGCATCTCACTTTACAGTCCTGTTTTAACCAACGCAAAAAGAAAATGCTTCACCGTATTAAATCTTTGCTCTACTTTGAATACACTACAGTGAAAACAACACAACCTTTAACAGTTTGACTAAGTTTTATTTAGCAAGTGGTGAAAGCACCGCATCATTTATTTATTCACACTTATTCAGCAAACCTTCTCAGTACCTACTACCCACATTGCCAGATACCACATGGCTCTGGGGCCAAAAGCTCAGTCTTGGCCCTCAGGGACCTTCATGAAAACCAGTAATGGTTGGACAGTGGCGGAACTGGGGAGCTCCGAGCAGGAGGGGTTGGTCACAGACTTGCTGCTGTCAGTGAAGAGGGACCGCTGCCACTCCAGGCAGCCACAGCGTGTGAGGGAGCGCAGTGGGAGGCAGGCAGCCGAGAGGTGGGTGGGGCCAGATCCCAGGGCTCCCTGAGTGCCTGGGCTGGACCCTGTAGGTGGCGGGAGCCCTTAAGGGGTGAGTCAGATTTGGGTTTGTTTGGAAGAGGAGGGTGTCTGAGTTAGATTACAGCCTTCCGTAGTTTACTCTGGCTTCAGTGATTGATGTCGGGGGGATGGGGAGGTTAGAAGCAGGGAGGTCAGGTGGCTGGGTAGTTGTTCAGTTGCTGACAGGAGGGATGTTGGGACTTGCAATATCGCCATTGTGCACCTGTTGTTTACACCTAATATTTGAGCCTAACCAGGAATCTTGCAGACTTGTTCAGCAGGGGGCACTGTGGCCACTGGCTGGCTGCAGTGGCCAAAACCAGATGTCTTTGGGCCTGAGGCAAACCAAAGCAACAGAGGACATTTAAGCTGGATGAAGGCAGGCTCAGGGGGCTACCGCGACCATCAGGCATCTGAAGCCCCTCTGTGGAGACTCATCAGCCTCACTCTGTGTTGCCACAGGGCAGGGTTGGGGATGAAAGGGGGCACCTCTAGGTTAAAAGGTGCTTTCTTTTCCAACAAGTAGCTTAGCCAGAGATAGAGGGAAGTCCCAGATGGCTACCTCGGCGAGGACGTGGCCTGGGAGGCAGAGCAGGTAAAGAGTGGCTCCGGAGACAGACAGTAAGATTAGATCCTGGCTCCACCATGTTCTAGCTAGTGATCCTAGACAGCATTTGAATTTCTGCATGCTTCATTTTTCTTACCTGCACATGAGGATAGTAAAGTATTAAATCTGTCCTGCATAAGGTTTTCTGAGACTTAAACGAGATGATTCATATAAATAGTATAGTCCCTGGTAAATATTAGTAAGTGTTAACTGTTATTTATTTGTTTGTTTGTTTGTTTTTTGAGTCAAGGTCTCTCTCTAGTACCCAGGCTGGAGTGCAGTGGCACAGTCTGGGCTCACTGAAGCCTCCACTACCCAGGTTCAAGTGATTCTCCTGCCTCAGCCTCCCAAGTAGCTGGTGGACCTGTAGTGGGTCTGCAAGCATGCGCCACCATGCCTGGCTAATTTTTGTACTTTTTGTAGAGATGGGGTCTCGCTGTGTTGCCCAGGCTGGTCTTGAACTCCAGAGCTCAAGCGATCCATTCGCCTTGGTCTCCCAAAGTGCTGGGATTATAGGCGTAAGCCATCACACCCAGCCAATTTTATTATTATTAACACAAAGCTTCATGGGTGATTCTGATACACAGCCTAGTTTGGGTACTACTGAACTCATGAACCTCCAGCTTTCTTCAATCCCTGGGATCTAGGATGATAAAAGAGAAACTCAAGTGGCTGATATGAGACTATGGTATTAAACCTACAAATTCTCTGCATTCCAGAACAAATGAGTGACAATGAGTTAGGGGTTCTGTTTAATGCATTTGTGTGAATAAATGGTCTTTAAAATTTATTTTTACTTATAATGAAGATCACAAACACAAAATTGAAAAGTATTAGAAATCTACTTTTAACTTTTAAAAACTATTCATTTTTTTAACCAAACAGTATGGTATGAAAATTTCCTAAATTAAAGAGCAAGACTGGGTCGTTGCTTAAAGAAAATTGTTTGGACCTGGTATCTCAAAATAAACTGTAAGTTATTGCAAGTGTTAGGAAAACGGTGAGTTGGAACAACCACTAGTGGGTGTGGGCCAGGAGAGACTAAGGGAATTCAAGCATCTAACAAAATATTAATACCCAAATTCAGCCTCGGTTCAGGTTTTGTGTGTCCATAAGCTACTTTGCCAGCTTAAGTCATCTTATTGGATGTATGCAGGCCTCCTGAGGGAAGTCGAGGCTGGAGGGGGTCCTGTGGACAGCCAGTGGGTTCAATGCTAGGGTGGGAGCAGATTCCCCTCCTTGTAATTTGTTCCTTCCCTGCAGAAAAAGAAAAAAAAAATGAGGTTTTTTTTTTTTTTTTTTTTTGAGACCGAGTCTTACTCTGTTGCCCAGGCTGGAGTGCAGTGGCGTAATCTCAGCTCACTGCAACCTCTGCCCCCCAGGTTCAAGCAATTCTCGTGCCTCAGCCTTCCGAATAGCTGGGACAACAGGCATGAGCCACCACAACTGGCTAATTTTTGTATTTTTAGTAGAGATGGAGTTTTACCATGTTGGCCAGGCTGGTCTTGAACTCCTGACCTTGGGTGATCCGTCCACCTTGGCCTCCCAAAGTGCTGGGGGGAAAATGAGATTCTTTATGTGCAAGGCCTAACATATAAGAGAGAGGGGAAGAAAAAGGCAAAGGGGGCAAAGGGTGAGGAGGAGAGACCCTATCAGCAGCTGGAAATTGAAGGTGTGGTGTGATCGGTGGGTGCATTGTGTGCTAGCGGCACATAAGGCCTGATTCCTCTTTTCTTTCCTCAGCCATCAGTCATCACCCACAAAGGGCTATCTTGCGGACACTTACGCTGCAAGAGCCACTTCCTCCAGTCTTATCACCCCACCCAGGCCCTGTGGAGCAGCCAGAAGGCAGGGAGTAGGGAGGCTCTGCTATCCAGAGCTTCTCCCTTGCAGGTCCCCTCCGTTGCTGTCAGTACCCAGCTGGCTCAGGGCTCTGTGATGCCGCCAGCTGGGCCTATGAGGGCCCTGAACTGAGTCCTCACTGCGTTTCTCCCAACCCCAGGAAGGTATGCTCAGCCAGAGCCCAGGCCTCACACACACTGGCAGTGACAAAAAGTAAAACTTCAGCCCCGCCCCCGTGTCTTTCCCCTGGCACCCCCGTGTGCCTTTACTCTATGGCTGACCTTTGTACTCGTAAGCTATCTAGAGGCTCTTTGGGCCTCCGCCAGAGTTTCCTAAAATATACGTTTGCTCTTCTCATTCTCCTGCCCAGAAGCTTCCAGAGTGCCCTCTTGACTTCAGGCTGAGTCCCCACCTGTGAACGGACTCACCTTTCATTTAGTGCAGACATAGGCCCCCCTGGAGTTTCTCTCTCCCCTTCCCTTCCTTCACCTGGCCAGCTCTCACTCTTCCTTGAAGACCAACTCAGATATCACCACACTGGATTTGGGACCCTCCTGTGTGCACACCTGGATCCAGTCACTGGATCCCGGTGACTGCAGGGCCACAGAGACTCAGAGAAGCGCTAGACTAGGAGTCAGGGCGCCTGGGTTGGGGCTTTGCTGCCTGACTGGAAGTTGCGTCCTCTATCAGTTGGGCATAGTGCACAGTGGTGTTTGCCCTTCCCTCCCCAGGATGGGACAAGCAGTAGATGAAAGAGTTTGCAGTGTGTATGCACATGGGAGGGGCAAGTCTTTCTGTGGACAGCCTGAGAATAAGGACAGAGAGCTGGGCCAGCTGGCCTTCCCATGGGTCCTGTCTCACCTCCGTCAGGAGGCAGTGGTGAGACACCCATGCTGTTGTCTTCGATCCTTGTCCACTGGTGATGTCAACTCCCCAAGCGAACATCAGAAATACTTGCAACCAAGCAAAGCTAAGGTTATCTGACCTCCTGCAGTAAGGGAGAACCTGCACTGGCAGAATCTTAGTAGGGTCTGAAAATGGAGGAATTAGGGAAGGGTACTTAGAGGATTTCAGGGTCCAGGCTTGGTGATTTGAAGGTGGGTCTTGCAAAGCCATTTTAGCTTTGGATTGGTGAGCCCAGCAAGGGAACAGTCTTGAAGTGAGTCTGGATGAGCAAGCTGTTAATCTTGTTAAGTTGTCTAATGGATTCACAGTCTTTTCTCCCAGGAGCAGGTATTTTCTGCAGCAAGCAGTGAAGTTATTTTTACTCGGTCTCAGTCTGGTTTAACATAGTAACAGGAAAGCTGGCCTGGTCCCAGAATTGTTTAACACAGGGATGGGGAATTATGTTAGTTTCATTCTTACTGGCAATCCTATTAAACTGAATTCTGGGAGAACAGAAACTGAGACACAATCTTTCTGCAAACCCTCATGCATTAGCAAAGTGCCTGGCAGACACTGTCAGCACACAGCAAGTGTTTCTTGAACCTGTGTATGCATGAATATCCTCTTGCACCCGTCAGTGGTCCTGGGAAGCCTCTGAACAGCACTGTGCTTGGGAAAAGCAACAACAGAGAACGTGTCCAACAAGATGCTGCCTAGACCCCTGCTGCTCCCAGTGTGTCCTGTGACCAACCTCAGTGTTCCCTGGGAGCCTGTGAGAAGTGTAGACTCTCAGGCCCCACCCCAGACTCTGTATTAGCAAGCAGCCCAGTGATGTGCATCAGTATCCAAGAAGAACTTTAAGTGTCTGGCCCGCACAGCAGTGGGAGGCATCAAAGGTTTCAAACGTGCAGCAGAGACTAGTGGAACGCTTCCTATGAGCCAGGCGTGTGTAGAGCCCTGTAGGTACCACCATGAGGCCGTCAGGATTTCAGCTCTGCAGGGAGGCAGGCACATAAACACACAACTCAAGGACCGTGAGAGTGTAGGAAATGTACTCTTTCCTTCTTTGTGTAGGAGAGAGATTTCTGTGCATGAACCCAGATACAGCAGGTGTGTCTGCGTGTGTGTGTGTCTGCGTCTGTGTGTTTGCGTGTGTGTGTGTCTGCGTGTGTGTGTGTCTGCGTGTGTGTGTTTGCGTGTGTGTGTCTGCGTGTGTGTGTGTGTGTGTGTGCGTGTGTGTGTGTGTGTGTGTGCGTGTGTGCGCGTGTGTGTGCGCGTGTGTGTGTGTGCGTGTGTCTGCATGTGTGTGTCTGCGTGTGTGTGTCTGCGTGTGTGTGTGCGTGTGTGTGTCTGCGTGTGTGTGTGCGTGTGTGTGTGTGCGTGTGTGCGTGTGTGTGCGTGTGTGTGTGTGTGCGTGTGTGTGTGTGCGTGTGTGTGTGTGTGCGTGTGTGTGTGCGTGTGTGTGTGCGTGTGTGCGTGTGTGTGTGTGTGTGTAGAGTCTGCTTTTTCCTGCAGAACGTTAAGCCTCTGATTGACTGCACCTGGCAGAAGCAATAACCACAGCCACCCACTTCCTGTCCTTTTCTGCGGGCAGATCCTGACAGCGAGCGGCGATGGCACGTGTGCCCTGTGGGATGTGGAGAGCGGGCAGCTACTGCAGAGCTTCCACGGACATGGGGCTGACGTCCTCTGCTTGGACCTGGCCCCCTCAGAAACTGGAAACACCTTCGTGTCTGGGGTAAAGACCCAACGGAAACTCCCTAGGGCTCCTGTGTCCACTAAGGAGGCTTATGGTGGCAGTTCTTGTCCATTCATGGGATTAGCCTAGGCACGTCCCTAGAAGGGACTGCAGGAATTGTCCTCAACTCCCCACTAAACCCCCAGCTCCTGCAGTGACCGCACTGGCTCCAGGCCCCTCTTGGGGGCTTGGTGGGCAGCCACAGGGCTGAGCTGTTTGGGCCTCCTTCTGTTCTGCCACTGATGTTAGCAGTCTATAGAGTAATCTGGAATGTTCTCCTGTATGAGTGCTGCAACTCAAAGTGTGTATCTGCCACATTTTAAAATGTCATTCCTCAAATAAATAGCAGAGACTTAGCATCTGAGAGCATCAGAGACGCACACAAGGGCATGGCAGGTCAGATGGCTACTGAGCTGAGGCAACGCCGTGATGCCGCCAGGGCCTTGGGGCCTGTGGGGCACTCTCCCACCCCACCCCTGCCAGCCACCATCCTCCCTCCCATCACAGGGTGCAAGAAACAGAGGCTTTGAAAGCTCAGAGTTGGCACACAGGGCCACAGAGACTCAGAGAAGCGCTAGACTAGGAGTCAGGGCGCCTGGGTCGGGGCTTTGCTGCCTGACTGGAAGTTGCGTCCTCTATCAGTTGGGCATAGTGCACAGTGGTGTTTGCACTTCCCTCCCCAGGATGGGGCAAGCAGTAGATGAAAGAGTTTGCAGTGTGTGTGCAAATGGGAGGGGCGAGTCTTTCTGTGGACAGCCTGAGAATAGGGACAGAGAGCTGGGCCAGCTGACCTTCCCACGGGTCCTGTCTCACCTCCGTCAGGAGGCAGTGGTGAGACAGGACAGTGACGCACACACTGTCAGGTGACTTCTGCAGCTGGGACACCTAAGGGACCTTTGCTCCAGGCTGCCCACACATTGATCCTAGGAGCCAGGCCAGGGCGGTATGAGCTGTAGTCAGCAGGGACCCTGATTTTCTTCCTGGGTATTCGGCCATGTGTAGATGTTTCACCCCTTTGCCTTGGTATCCCTGTGTTTATCTCTCCTCGACTCTACTGTGTTTTTAAAAAATTACTGCTATTACTGGAGATCATATTGTCTCATCCAGAGCACTAAACTGCATCCAATTTCTTGTCCTCTAAAGACGTGAAGGCCTTTCTGGTTTCTTTGCCCACATTTTCAGTAAAGACACTCGGGCCACGGGCCTTCCTCAGATGTGTGATGGTGCTTCATTACACACCTCCCTCTGCTCCAAGTTGAAACCAATAACTTGGACACCAATTTTAAGCTGTTACTTTTTGACTGTTTAAGCTGTTTGACCATTTAAGCTCTTTGACTATTGAGAGTCCACATTCTGCTTCTTGAGCTTGATACCATGACCACTCTGCAGGAACCTATCAAACTGCTCCCAGAGCCTTGACAGGATAATGGGAAAACCCTCACGTCTGTGACCCTCTGGGTCATGTTAGCAACCTGAAGACAGCATTGACTTTACAGGTGTTGAGGCGGACGTCCGGGGAGGTGACTTGCCTAAGCCACCCGGCGCGTCAATGGCAGCACCCTGATGGGCCTCTGGTTTGCGGATTCCCAGCCTGGCATGCTGCTGAGGGTGCAGATGGCCCGGGGCGCCTGGCTCTCCAGCTTTGCTGAGGGCTGCTCCATACACCGAAACAAAGCTGGGACTCTCAGCTGCTCCATTTGGGCGCTGCCAACCCATTAATGTCACAGCTAGAGAGGGCCCACCACGCACCACTGCCTGCCTGCCTTGCCCTCTGGGCTTAGGGAGGCAAGTATAAAGAGAAGAGAGAAAAGAGGGAAAACGAAGGGAAGGGAGATGCCCAGGGGAGGGTAAGAAGGGTTTGCCTCCATTCGGAAATGCTCAAAAGAAGAAAACAAGCTAAAAGAGGAAGCTGAGTGCCTTGCCTCCTGCCTCCCATCCCAAGACCTAGTTCTAGGCTGCTAAGGGCTTTCTGACTGAGGAAACTGCCCTCAGGTAAAGCTAGTCTCAGAAAAGTGTGTTGTCAACCATTTGCTAATGGGAAATAAATGGTCTCTGTTATATAACTGGGACTCATGCCTTGTCTATAGACATTCCTTGAAGTGGTCATAACTCTGGGTAATTTTGCATTTGTAGGGATGTGACAAGAAAGCCATGGTGTGGGACATGCGCTCCGGTCAGTGTGTGCAGGCCTTTGAAACACATGAATCTGACATCAACAGTGTCCGGTCAGTGAGTAGAATGTTCATGCCACCTCTCTGTTCTGCCGGCATTGCCTGGCTTGGGTAATCCTTAGCCAAGGAACCGCCTCCAGATCAGTTTACTTGGCTGAGAGAGGCCTCCCCAGGAAGAAAGGCTGATTGTGGTGGAACTGAACAGTGCTTCAGAACTCATGGAGAATTTTAATTTAATTGCATTAGGAGCAATTAATATCCTCCCTAGGTTGAATCAGCATTTTTCATCCATTCATTCAATAAATATTTACTGAGTATTTATATGCTAGATATTATTCTAGAAACTGGGAATAGACTAGTGAACAAGATAGACAAGGTCTCTACTTTCTTACAGGAGACAAACTAGACCAAACACAAATATACAATTTCAGATACTGATAACTACTATGGTAAAAGTAAAATAGGGAGATGGGATGGGTCATTTCTTAGAGGTCAAAGACAGCCTTACTGAGAAGGTGACATTTACATTGAGGCCAGGATGATGAAAGAGCCAGGCACGCAAAGAGCTGGGGGAAAAGCACAGAGATGAGAGGTTAAGGGACCTAAAAAAAGGCCAGGTGGTCACTGGAGAGTTTTGAGTTGGGAGGGGTAGGGGTGGCTAACCTGATCATAAAAGATCTCTCTGTTGGGAAGCCGAGGCGGGCAGATTGCTTGAGCCCAGGAGTTTGAGACCAGCCTAGGCAACATGGTGCAACCCTGTCTCTACCAAAAAAAAAAAATACAAAAATTTAGCTGGGCATGGTGATGTGCGGAGGAGGCTAAGGTGAGAGGATCGATTGAACCCAGGAGATTGAGGCTACAGTGAGTCGAGATGGTGCCACTGCACTCCAGCCCAGGCAACAGAGTGAGACCGTGTCTCAAAAAGAAAAAACCCAAACAAACCAAACAGATCACTGGCTATATGGAGAAGACATTGTAGGGAGCAAGAATGGAAAAATGACGACCAGTTAGAGGTGGTTGTGTGAGTTCGACAAAGAAACGATGGTGACTGGAACTAAGGAAGACATGGTGGAGACAGAAATGTCAAGAATTACGAAATGTCTGAGATTTTGTCTACCTACATGTTAACAAGTTGGGCTGCCATAGCTCATGGATGCTGGTAGAAGACACGAGACTCCTGGGTCAGAGATGAAAGACAGTTTATTACTAATAGTAATGGCAATAGCCAGGATATCAGCTTGTTTGTGCTGGTATTTGAGCCCCAGTTCCACAGGGAGACATGAAAAGGGCCAAATGACACTGGCAGATGCAAGGGATGCACTCTAGAAGAACCCTGAGCTTAGGGAACCCACGTCTTTTATCGAGGGCAGTAAGCAGCAGTCCATGTGCTAAGACAGGGAAGACTGGAAGGATAGGGGGAAGAGGTGGGTTTTGCACATGGATTGGGGAGCTCTCTTTGGGGCTGGTTAGGTTTGAGATGCCTATTAAACATTCAAGATGTCAAGTAAGTAGCAGGATCCATGAATTAGATCCTAAGAGAGAGGTCAGGACTTGCCATGTATGGAAGATGGTACTGTTGAGACAGTTTATAAAGTATTTTCATTATACTCAGAACTCCCAAGAATCTTCATTATACTTAGTGGGAAAACACGAGAATTGTTTCTCTTAAAAACAAGAACAAAAAACAATACGTACTTACTTTAGTACTCCTTGCCCTCAAATGTGGGATAAGGAAAAAAGCAAAAGGACTCTCACTTATTGTAAATATGCAGTAATTACCTAGAAAATCAAAAGAAATCAATCTGAAAATCACTACAGATAGTAAATGAAGTTAGTAAAATGCAAGATAGAAGATAAAGCCACAAAAATAAGCCCCTATGTATTAATAAAGTATAGTCATTCCTTGGTATCTGTGGGAGATTGGTTCCAGGACCTCCCTCAGATACCAAAATCCTACATAAAAGTATGTAGTATTTTCTCAGGGTATGCTGAAGTTATAAAAATAAATAAATAATAAAATTAAAGTGGTATAGTGTTTGCATATAGCCTATGCACATCCTCCCATGTACTTTAAATCATCTCTCAATTACTTATAATATCTAATAAATGTATATGCAATGTAAATAGTTGTTAGACTGTATTGTTTGGAGAATGATGACAAGAAAAAAGGTTCAGTACAGATGCAACAATCCTTTTCTTTTTTAGAATATTTTTAATCAGCAGTTGATTTTATCCATGAGTGTAGAACCCATGGCTATGGAGGGCCAATGTACAGCTTTAAAATGCACACACTCAGCTGGGCGCTGTGGCTTATGCCTGTAATCTCAGCATTTTGGGAGGCCAAGGTGGGCAGATCACTTGAGGTCAGGAGTTGGAGACTAGCCTGGCCAACATGGTAAAACCCCGTCTCTACTAAAAATACAAAAATTAGCCAAACATGGTGGCACATGGCTGTAATACCAGCTACTTGGGAGGCTAAGGCACGAGAATCGCTTGAACTCAGGAGGCAGAAGTTGCAGTGAGCCGAGATCACGCCACTGCACTCCAGCCTGGTCGATAGAGTGAGACTCTTTCTCCAAAATAATAATAATAAAAAAATAAAATGCACACTGTCTCACCTGAGCTGTTTCATCTCCCCTGAGCCCTCTGCCTTTAACCTCCTTTGACCATCAGTTTTCAACGTAAGCTTCCCTCTGTCCACGAAGCCCCCCTGGTTTCCAGGGCTGACTTAGGTGCCCTCCTGTGTGAGGGGGACCACACTGCATGGCCAATTCACTCATCGATCTCCTCCTGCACTGAGGAAGTCAGAGAGAGAGAGAGATAAAATCTTGCTTTTTAAAGTATTTGAAGTAACCAAACTTTTTAAACTATTTATGAATTCTTAATGGGAGAAATAAAAGAAGATGTTGATAAATGGAGACATAAACCCAATTATTGATAGAGAACACTATAACTTAAAAATTTAAATGGCCATTTTTCTATATAGAGTGAATGCAGTTTCAATTAAGTTATTTTATGGAACGGTGTAAATTGATGCTGAGACTCATCTTACGGATGCTACAGGGACTGATTCAGTGGGCCATGTTCAGGGTACCTTTTGATTTTCTTCCAGGGCAAACACTGGCTACCATGTCTACCCAAGGCTGAGGTTATACTGAGCATTGTCATTGTTCTCTTAGCATGCCCTTTGTAGTACACTGGATTAGTTAGGACATGGGCTTGTATGAGAGAAGCCCAAATAACAGTGACTTAAACCAGATGGAAGTTTTTTCTCACCTTAAAATCTGAGCTGCTATGACAGCTCATTCTGTCTTCGCAACCCACTCCCTAGGATGGTGCTCCCTCTCCTGCCCCCACTGGCCTACCACCATGCCTTCTTTCCAGCTGGCTGGTAGAGGAGAGTTGCGCTTATCGCTTCTGTCTGCATCCCATGAGCCAGAACATGATCGTATGGCCACATCTGGCTACAGGAAGACTAGAAACATAGTTTTCATTCTGCCGTGTGCCCAGGAAAAACAAAACAAACCAGTGTTTTTCAGTGGGGTTCACTATTAGCATTTTGGGAAGGACATTTCATTGTAAGGGAATGTTCCATGTAAGACATTTACCATCCGTGTGGCCCAGCCACTGAATTCCAGTAGCACCCCCTGGGTTTGGTGCCATTCAAAAAAATCCTGCTTTTATTTAACCATAGCTATAGGAGAGAGAGAGGGGACACTGGGGGCACAAAAAGTCTCTTCCAGATAATCTACGTATTACCTGGAAGATAATACACTTGGTCCCTGAACTTCCCACCAGCAGAAGGAAATCATAGCCCATGTGGCCCCAAATGGTATTTAATCTAGAAATCATTTTGACATTGGAATATGGATGCGTCAGATACTCCATGAATTCATAATGCTTTCAAAAACATAATGTGCCCACACCGTGATGGACTGACTGGGGCAGAGCTGAAAATGGTTAACATTTCTCATCCAGCTTTTCTCTTCTCCATCCCCGTCTTTCAGGCCAGTGTAAGTTAGTCACACAAAGTCAAGCTCTCGTTTGCCAAATGTTTTGACTCTCCCCTCCCGCGGTTAGGAGGAATAACTTTAGCTGTTTTAAAGGGCTGCTCCTCCTCTGGCTTTTGTGGAGCTATAGGGTAGTCACTGGCACAAGAAAGAAGAAACAAGCCTGGTGTGGTAGCTCACACCTGTAATCCCAACACTTTGGGAGGCCTAGGAGGGTGGATCACTTGAGGTCAGGAGTTCGAGACCAGCCTGACCAACATGGTGAAACACCATCTCTACTAAAAATACAAAAATTAGCCAGGCATAGAGGCATGTGCCTGTAATCCCAGATACTTGGGAGGCTGCGACATGAGAATCGCTTGAACCTGGGAGGTGGAGGTTTGTAGTGAGCCGAGTTCAGGCCATTGTACTCCAGCCTGGGTGAGAGAGTGAGACTCAGTCTCAAAAAAACAAAAAAAGAAACAATGGAAGGTGTGGGGAACACAGCCGGGTGAGGCAGAGCGGAGGGGTTTAAAGACATTTGCTCTCATTCTGCCTCTGGATTATAATTTAGGACCCATATTTCTCACTAATCATTGAAAAGAGAATGACTATAGCAGTAATAATCATCATTCATGGAATGTGTTTTAATTGGCACCATGCCAGATTCTTTGCATGGACTGTCTTATGTAAACTTCACAGCAGAAAATATGCATTATTACTCTCACTTTTCAGATGAGGAAACTGAGGCTGGGCAAGAGGAAGTCATTTGCCAAAAGTATCGCAGGTAGTAAATGGTCAGTGCAGACATCCAATGTGGCTTTGTGCATCTAATTCCGTGTCTGTGCTCATAACCCCTTTCTTATCCCTGAGCTCTGGGCCAAGTCTTAGGAATTAGATATGTGATTGAGGGAAACTATATTTACAGGGGGTCTGCTCTGTGTTCTGTGCCTGATATCAACACACATTATCTCACTCTACAAGGCCAGCGTCATTGTCTCCCACTAACAGGGAAGAAAACTAGAAGTCAGTGGGCCTGACATATGAGCTTCCTCTTCCGTCTTCTACTGCAAATATTCCTTAAGTCCCTAGAAGTAGAGATTCTGATTCCAAGGGCCTAGCATGGTTCTGATGGGCATCCAGGGTCGGGAATCACCACCCTAGATAAAGTACTTTCTCTCTGCAGGTACTACCCCAGTGGAGATGCCTTTGCTTCAGGGTCAGATGATGCTACGGTATGTTTCTAAGTTATTGAGAGCTTTTCCTATTCAATAGAGGGATCTGCTAACTTATTTTTAGAAAATAACTATTTTTCTGGTTACAGAAGTAATGAGTACTCAATGAAGAAAATTTGGGGGAATATTAAATTACCTTGATCTCCTTACCCAAGAAAAATCATAGTTGGATGAATTCCTTTCTGACTTTTTTTCTTTTTGACAAACAAAATGCTTTTTAATTTGGCATTTTCACTTAACAGAATGTGAACATTTTCCCAGGCCGATAAATATTTCTCTCCATTATATTTTCTTAATGATTGAGTTGTATTCCATGTTATGAACGTGACATTCGTCTTGAATTTTTGGCTCTTATCAAGGTTTTTTTTTCTCTGTTAAAAACACTGCTATTAGTGTTTTTGTACCTTGCTTATCATTTCCTTAGCATTCTCAGACATAACTTGCTGAGCCATAAATAGACCCAGTTTTAAGGCTTTTGATACTGATTGCCAAATTATTTTCAAGAGAAAAAATATTTTCTTGTTGCCCTCAAAATATCAAATACCTTATGAAGTAATGGTTTTAATTCTAATTTTCTGCTAAAGAAATTACAAAAGAATAGATTGAGAGTTTTGAAATAATGAAAATTTAAAACTTCTGTATGTCAAAGCTACATAACAATATAAGGGAATACATCATGGAAACTTCTTGCCACGTACAGTACAGGCCAAGTTGAAATCCTGTAGATATGAATAGGGTTACATAAGCAATAAAACAAACACTCCAATTAAAGAAGAGGGTAAAATGCAGGTCATTTACAAAGCAGTAAATCCAAAATGGCAAGTAAACACCTGAAAATGTTTTCAAAGTCACCCATAATCAAAGAAATGTATGTTTTAAGTTTTCAGTGGTCGGATGCCCATTTTGCCACTTGGATTAGCAAAGAAATGCTCAGAGGTTGGGTTGATGGGGAGCCTGGAACAAGCCTGGGGTCAGGATAGTTGGCACCACCCTGCTAGAGGGCAGATAAGAATCAAGAGCTTGAAAACATCTCTACTTGGCCAGGCATGGTGGCTCACGCCTGTAATCCCAGCACTGTGGGAGGCCAAGGTAGGTGGATCACCTGAGGTCAGGAGTTCAAGACCAGCCTGGCCAATGTGGTGAAACCCCATCTCTACTAAATGAGACTAAAAATACAAAAATTAGCCAGGCGAGGTGGCGGGCACCTGTAATCCCTACTACTCTGGAGGCTGAGGCAGGAGAATCATTTGAACCTGGGGAGGCAGAGGTTACAGTGAGCCAAGATTACGCCATTGCACTCCAGCCTGGGTGACAAGCGAAATTCCATTTCAAAATAAAATAAAATATAAAATAAAACATCTCTACTTCTGATCTGGTCGTGCTATTTCCTGATAACTCTTCTAAGGATTCTATTTCTTACCTCGTCTAAGGAAAATACCAGAAACACATGTAAAGATTTTTATGTAAGAATAGTCATCATAATATTATTTATAAAAGAGAAAAATTAAACACAACCGAAACAACAGGATTTGGCTAAATAGATTCTGATATATTCAGTAACAATGTACATAACGTTTTTTGAAGTTTTCTTTTAATGATGTGAGAAAGTACGTATAACCTAATGTTAATAGAAACAATAATGAAACATCCAGCCCATTCAGATACACACATAAAATAGAAATAAGACTGAAGAAAATAGCTCAAAATTAGTAAATACCTCTAGGATTTAGGGTGACCCTCATTTCCTTCTGTATACATTTCTGAATATTTCAAAATTTTCTACAATCAACTGTGTCCTTTATCAGAAAAAAAAAAAGGTGGGGCCTCATTTTGTTTTTATATCTGAAGAAATTTGCTGTATTTGTCATTTCTTTACTGACTCATAGAGATTAATAGGAATTGGGACTCTTTACTGACTAATAGAAATTAATAGGAGTCGGGACTAAAGGATGAAATAACAGTAGGGAAAACTAAGAAGTTTTTCCTTCATCCTTTAAACTACACAAGTCACTAGCACCTACCTGTAGCTCTGTGGTCATCACATCACCAAACTGAAGCCAGAAGTAAGTGCTGCTTTATTTATTTGCCCCCCAGTGTCGCCTCTATGACCTGCGGGCAGACAGGGAGGTCGCCATCTATTCCAAAGAGAGTATCATATTTGGAGCATCCAGCGTGGACTTCTCCCTCAGTGGTAAGATTTTATTTCAGAAACTTTTTCCGGGATTGTAAGACAGGACCGGAATGAAACTAGCGCTCTACCATCACTCAGTTCTTTTCATTAACCGAGCTTCCTGTGGACCAGTATGCGAAATCATCCACATTTGCACCAGTTTTCCTCCTCTGAGCTTCTGACCTCCCACTTTGCCCTGCTGCAGGAAACTTCCCCTAGCCCCATTCACTCCAGGGGGAGATGAAGGCTGTGTACTTACCTAATGCTGTCCTTCAAGGCAGTGAAGTGTCAGAAATTCACTTCTGCAATGCTCTCAGGCATTTTCTCCCCAGTCTTTGCTTCTCTTCATGCCCCAAAGGGAACTTTTCTCTAAGGTGGAGGTTAAGCAAGAGTCCCTTCTTGACCAGGCACTGTGACTCACACCTGTAATCCCAGCACGTTGGGAGGCCAAGGCAGGCGATCACTTGAGGTCAGGAGTTCGAAACCAGCCTGGCCAACATGGTGCAACCTTGTCTCTACTAAAAATACAAAAATTGGTTGGGCATGGTGGTGCATGCCTGTAATCCCAGCTACTCAGGAGGCTGAGGCAGGAGAATCGCTTGAACCTGGGAAATGGAGCTTGCAGTGAGCTGAGATTGTGCCACTGCACTCCACCCTGGGCAACAGAGCGAGACTCCGACTCAAAGGGAAAAAATAAAATGAGTCCCTTCTCAGTGCCCTGAAGCTCATGGCTCCTTTGTGGGAAGTTGCTAGTGAAAAAGCATAGCTCCAGAAAGATCATGTCAAAGAAAGAAAGCAAAATAGAAAGTTAAAGCAGAGGTAACAGGCTGGCTACCTGGACCACTCGATTTCCCCAGACACATCCCTAGACTAACTGCACAGGAAGTTCCTGCTACTGCCTGGAACATCTTTTCCCTGCCTTCTCTGCATGACAGACTCCTATTCAACCCTCAAGAGCCAACTCAAATGTCACTTTAACTTTCTCTCTTTAAACAAGTTTTACAAGTTGTTAACTAGCAAATGACTAGAAATAATTTTTTTGTGTCTGCAGTGTCCCCCTTGATCCCCCTTCCTCTCTGGTCCCATAGCACTTTACATGTGTAAAGCACTTGCATTATGGCTGTTACCATGGGATGCTACAGTGATCTGTTCCTCTCGGCCCCACATCCTCCACCAGGGGCCGTGACTGTGCTTTCTCCCCTTTAAATCCTCAAGGTAAAGCACAGTGCCTAGGACTCAGTGGGCCTGAATCACTGCTTACTGAATGAGTGAGTGAGTGACAGTCATGTAATGAGAAACAGGAAGCAAGGAACTGGCTTAACAGCTATCATCTCACCCTGCTTCAAGGTCGCCTGCTGTTTGCTGGATACAATGATTACACTATCAACGTCTGGGATGTTCTCAAAGGGTCCCGGGTCTCCATCCTGTTTGGCCATGAAAACCGCGTTAGCACTCTACGAGTTTCGCCCGATGGGACTGCTTTCTGCTCAGGATCATGGGATCATACCCTCAGAGTAAGAGAGAGGGTTTTCTCTTTTCCTGGGTGTGAGAGGAGAGAAGAGGGGTGACAGGCCTTCTGAAGCAGAGGGAAGGCTTTCAGAGTAAGCTCGGGTGGGCCTGGTCAGCCTCGCCGAGCTCTCATTTCCACTCTGCCCACAGCCACAGGAGGAACTAGTTGCCTGGAGAGGTAGTGAGTGCCCCATCAATGCAGGTATTCTCCCACAGATTCGACAACTGCGTATCAGCCTGTAGGTGAGGGAATAGTTAGGCTTCATCATCCAGAAAGTTCCTTTTGACCCTAAAAGTCTGATTCTTGTGATTCTAGCCTTTGGCAAACCACAGATAACCAGTCTCTTCTCCTGTAGTATAGGGTTCTTACTACAGTTATTAACCGTGTGATGACGAGGGTCACAGATCCAAGAGGCTGTGAAGCCCCTGAAATTATTACTTTTATCTTCCTTTTTTTTTTTTTTTTTTTTAGTTTTCCTATAGCTTAATTTTGAAAGTGAAGCCCCTGAAATTATATATGCCAAATTTGGGGTGTATGCATTTTGTCCGCATGGCTTTCATTAAATTCTCAAAGATAGCTCCATAACCTTGTTGAGTGTTGGCTCCCCCAAAATGCTACCAAAATAGCCTGTTTAAGCCGGGCGTGGTGGCTCACACCTGTAATTGTAGCATTTTGGGAGGCTGAGGTGGGCAGATCACTTGAGGTCAGGAGTTCCAGACCAACCTGGGCAACATGGTGAAACCCCGTCTCTACTAAAAATACAAAAATCAGCCAGGCATGGTGGCAGGCACCTGTAGTCCCAGCTACTCGGGAGGCTGAGGCAGGAGAATCGCTTGAACCCAGGAGGCAGAGGTTGCAGTGAGCCGAGACCATCCCACTGCACTCCAGCCTGGGCAACAGAGCAAGACTCTGTCTCAAAAAAAAAAAAAAAAAGATGCCCATTCATAGAGCAAAGCTAAATTGATTGCTTACCTCAGTGTGGAACATCAAGAATTGGTAGAGGTGTAGTGGCATCTCAGAAGAGGAGGACAAAGGCATGCATGAGGTTTCTTGGGTCTGGTTTAAGGCAGGTTTTTGTTGGGGGCCACTTAATTAGGATTGGACAACTTTGTGGCATAATAGTTTTAGGATTGCTGGACATGGGTGGGGGAGGGTTTCGAACAAACCCTTTAAAAGTAAGTACTCATTCGATGCCCTATATTGTCCTGAGACGTGGGTGTATTTTCTAAAGAGGGTAAGTTGAGTAGTCTAGTGTTAGGATAGAAAAAAGGATTTTTGCAAAATTCCTGAAGCGAATAAAAAAGTTATCTGTGAGTTCATCTTCCTGGGTAAGAGTGTCCTAAATGAGTAAAGTCCTGTTAATGTGTACGGTGAGCTGTATGGGTTCAAATGGTTTTGGTTGTCAATCTGTAAGAGTAACCAGACCCTAGTAAGGAGGCTGCAGATGCCCCACAAACAATTAACTAAGGGAGGAGGGGATCAGGTGCAAAGAAGCACCTTTGCATTGCTAGGAGTACAGTGTTATCCTTCTAAGGCACAGGAGCACCCTGTTTTGGATGGTGTGTGTGTGTGTGTGTGTGTGTGTGTACACACACGTATGCCCATGCATGTGTGTGAATAGACTAATTTTATCTCTTTAAGCTCAAGTTTTATAAGTTGTTAACTACAAAGGTCTAAAATCTATCTGTTTGTGTCTTCACAGGTCTGGGCCTAATCATCTCACAATGCACTCATGTATACCTGAGAATTTGAAATCTTCACATGTAAATAGATATTACTTCTAGAGGAGCTTAGGGTTTACTGCGGTTTAGCTTAGGGGAGTAACCATGGCTCACAGGTCACTAAGCGTCTCCAATATGACTATTAAAACTGTCACCTCTGGAAATACACTAGTGTGAGCCTTCAGCACTGCGAGAATACCTTCAAGTACAATACCTTCAAGTTCTTTTGGAACACTTTAAAATGTATCTGTTTTTAAGGTTATTCTAAATTATAGTAGCCTCAACTCATTCTGTCACCAGTAGAATTCAGCAGTTAATATAGTCCGTATTATTTCTTTGAGTCAATTCATTTTCAGAGCACTTTAAAGTCTGATATTTCTTGTGCACTGTGATGCCTGGAACCTTCGTCTGGAAGTGCTGGTTTTATGGACTGAGGACTGGTAACTGGTCTGGATAGAAGCAAATTCCAATTCCAAATGTAATCAGACAAAAGTCACTTTTTTTAGAATGTTTTTATTGTAAAAGTGTCTTCTTCAGCTTCCTGTTCTATTGTCTTTTTTCAGATAAAACGTTTTTGTCTCTGGTGAACTGCTGTAAATGACACAGAGAAATGCCTCAAGAGGACAGGTGGTTTGACTGATGAATGATGATGATGTCACTGTGTCACTTGGACAGGGCGTTTTCTCTGAATTGAAAGGAAAGCCAGTGCTGTTTGTAAACAAACGCTTCTGAGAGCAAGCAAAACTCTGTGTGGGAACACAGGATAGGAAACTTATTTAAAAACCTATTAGTAGAATTAGTGGAAACACTTAGGTTAAAGTGGATCTTGTCCATATAAATTATATTCATATGTATTGCATTGCAATTATAATTACATATGCAAATTGATGGATAGTCATGAATAATAATGTCTGCTTCTCTTATACAGAAAGAAAAACAATATTAAAAGAAGATCTTCTCTTTATTTGAGACTCAGAATTCCTTCTGGAAGAAGGAAGTACTTTCTGTTATAGGATCCCTTCTTTTCCTTTTTTGGTATTTTGTAAGATGTAGATGCTTAGTCTTTGCTTTAGAGAACTCATTTAAAAAGATGGCACGCATTATTATCTAGGGGAATAAAAGGTCACCTCAGACACCAGATGTCATTCCTGGTGAGGCCTGCCCTGCGGCCTCATGGGTGGCCTGGGGTCTGCCGGCAGGTTCTGGCAGCGCCTGAAAGCTGCGGGCACCCTGTCCCTTGGACTGTCGGGTCTCCTCTCCTGGTCCTGCTCCAGCCCAGCCCTTCTTCTGGTGGTAGCTCTGGCTTTGCAAACCCAGCTCCAGGCCCTGCTCCTCAGAGAGACCGTTCCAGAGCTTGAGCTGGGCACAGCCATAGGACAGGCCTGGAGCAGATGCTCCAGGGGTGGGCCAGGCCCACCCTCACAACTGCTTGTTCAGGTATCGTGATGGGCCACTCGATCCAAAATCAGCCTGGCCAGCTTTTCCATCATCTCACTTCAAATAAACATAATAATTTGATCATTTGCAGAGCAGTTACTGGTGGTTTTACTGCACACCGGGGTCTGGGGTAGAGAGAGAAAAACAAAAGGCCTCTGCCTGCCTCCAATGAGCCCAGAGAGAGTGCTTTTAAGTCCCAGTAGATTCCAGTCTGGGCAGGGGCTCAGGAAATGGGCCCAGTGTCTGGCCAGCTCCTGCCAGCTGCTGAAGGGGTCAGGGACACCATGGGATTCCTGAGCTCTGCTCCAGAATGTCCCATAGTGGCCTCTGGTGCAGCTGGCCGCCTTGTGGTGGCATGCCCAGCCGTCTGTCCCACAGCCTTTTTTTTTTTTTTTTTTTTGGCTCTGCAGTGTGCCTTCCGGCTCCCAGAAGTGAAGGCAGGCACGGGAAAGGAAGGAAAGGTGGCCCAGGGGAAGCACATTCCGAGTTCTATGTTTGGAGGGGTGGAGAGCATCTTCAGGATATGTGCAAAGTAGACTGTGATTTTCCAATCCAAAAAGCCACTTTACAGGCCCAGGGAAAGTATTCCAGAGAATGCTTCTACTCCCCACATGGGCAGGAAGCCCCCTCCGCTGTGAGCATGCGCTCTCACGGGGGGCGCTGCCGGGATTTGGACTATGTGACAGCATGTGGAGACTCAGGGGTAAGCTCCATGGAATAGGTTGTGTTTTGCAGATCGAAAATAATGCTGAGTGTATTTTATAATCAGCTTTTCCTTTTTCCAGAGGACTTGGGGATAAACCTACCAAACCAATGGAGGTGAAGGGGCCAAACAGATGGGCCCCTAGAGATGTAGAGGCTTAGGCAACCCCCTCCCGGGCCAGAAAAAACGAAAGTTCAGGCAGAAGGGTGTGGGTGATGGGTATTTGTGGGAAGTACCTGTGACATGAAGCCAAGTCCAGTGCTTTAGAATGCGTGGTCAGCCTCTCACCGGCGGAGTCCTGGCAGCCGTCCCTGTTCTCCCAGGCGAGCCAGAGGTGGGCATCCCATTGCCACTGCCCTCTTCCTGCCCTTCTGCCTCCTTCGCACCCCTCTCTAGATTATAAGTGGTTTAAAACAGCACAAGGTTATAAGGGCCTTTGTGTCCCAGGTTCTTGTAGCTGCCAGGCCAGCTGGCTGAAAGGTGGCACCCCTGATACTGAGACTCCTCTGTGAGTTAGAGGGACGCCATGGTGACAAAGGAGGTCTGATCCTGGTTCACACCCAGCTCTGACACGTTCGCAGAATATGTGATAATATCTGAGTTTCTCTCAGCCTCAGTTTCCCCATCTATAACATGGGATGGCACTAAAATATGTGACATGCATACCTCATTCTTTAGCACATCTTCAGGAAGGGTTAGTTCCCAGCTTCCTCCCTGTGTCCTCCTTATTCCCCTTCCTGTTTGCCCCCCTCCCTCTCCCTCCACCTATCTTCCCTCTTCCTCTTCCCTTTCCCTCCTCCTTCCTCTCTCCTCCCTCTCATCTCCTCCCCCTCCCTCCTCTCTCCTCCTCCCCCCATCTCCTCCTCCTCCCCTCCCATCTCCTCCTCCTCCCTCCTTCCCATCTCCCCCTCCCTCCTTCCCATCTCCTCCTCCCTCCTTCCCATCTCCTCCTCCTTCCCTCCCATCT